CCCATTCTGGCACACCCCTCACACGTTTCGTGGCCCCATAGGGAGCTCCACCGAAGGCCCCAGTGGCTGCGCCCGCATGCGGTTCCACCCCCCATTCTGGCACACCCCTCACACGTTTCGTGGCCCCATAGGGAGCTCCACCGAAGGCCCCAGTGGCTGCGCCCGCATGCGGTTCCACCCCCCATTCTGGCACACCCCTCACACGTTTCGTGGCCCCATAGGGAGCTCCACCGAAGGCCCCAGTGGCTGCGCCCGCATGCGGTTCCACCCCCCATTCTGGCACACCCCTCACACGTTTCGTGGCCCCATAGGGAGCTCCACCGAAGGCCCCAGTGGCTGCGCCCGCATGCGGTTCCACACCCCATTCTGGCACACCCCTCGCACGTTTCGTGGCCCCATAGGGGGCTCCACCAAAGGTCCCAGTGGCACTGCCCGCTTGCGTCCGCCACCACCCAGCACAGCCCTTGTTCCCTGCGCTTCACCCACCCAGAACAGCGCTTCGTAGCCCTATAGGGAGCTCCACCAAAGGTCCCAGCGGCACCGCCCGCATGCGTCCGCCACCACCCTGCGCAGCCCTTGCTCCCTGCCTGCATTTCACCCACCCAGTACAGCGTTTCGTGGCCCCATAGGGAGCTCCACCGAAGGTCCCAGTGGCACCGCTCGCATGCGTCCGCCACCACGCAGCACAGCCCTTGCTGACCGCGTCTCACCCACCCAGTACAGCGTTTCGTGGCCCCATAGGGAGCTCCACCGAAGGTCCCAGTGGCACCGCCCGCATGCGTCCGCCACCGCCCAGCACAATTGCGGCATTCACAACTGCATATGGTTGGGTCCTTCGCCAGGCTAATTTTCCTATATCCTAAAATGGCGTTCTTGTTTGCATCTCGACGTTTCAGGATCTCCTTCCTCCTTCTCCGTCTCCTCTTCGCCTTCTTCTTCATTGTCGTATCATGTGTGTACTCATAATGAAATCACTCACGCCCATCGCTGGGGCCGTCACAAACCAACTTTTCTTCGCGGGTTCGATCACCGATCTATTTTTCCACACGCAAGCTTCGCCACATCACTCCCCCATTCAATATCACTCAGAGTCAAAATCACCCATACCCACTCAGGGAATTAGCTTCAGTCGCACTCCCACTCATACGCACTTAGACTCTAGCATTCCGACACACTCTTCCTCATTCAGAGGCACCCAGACTTTTCTGGTGGTCCACTGCTCTCAGCGATATAGCAGACTTGGCGTGGCATCCGGGCACCTCAAAGAGGATCCGCCAGAGGTCAACACTCCCCAGGATTCGCGCCCAGATTGTGGGATGACTCGGGCGGTTTGCCTGTTTCTGCCCCTGAGGGTTGTCTTCTTTGGTGGTCCAAGGCTCACTGCGATATAGCAGGCCTGGCATGTGGGCACCCCCAAGGGGGAGCCGCCAGGTGTGAACACGGTCCAGGCTTCGCGCCCTGATTGTGGGGATGTCTCAGGCGGTTTGCCTATTTCTGCCCCCACTCCCAGACTTTCTTCTTTGGTGGTGCAATGCCCGCTGCGATCTATCAGGCGTGGCATTTGGGCATCCCCAGGGGAGCCGCCAGGGGTTGGGACACTCCAGGGCTCGCGCCCGGACTACCATGGGGATGCCTCAAGCGGTTTGCCAGCTTCTGCCCGGCAGACTTCTCTTTGGATTTGGGTGCTCTTCGCTCACTCGCTTACTCACTCATTCGCTCACCTCCGTCTCCTTTTACCGCATTGAGACGCACTCTTTCGCACCCGGACTCACTCAACAGCATCTCTTCCTCATTCAGGCTCACTCATCCCAGTCAGACTCATGGATCTTCATATTCAAGTATACGCTCATACTCAGACTCGCTCAATCTCAGACTCACCCACACACAGACCAGCTCACACTCAGACTCACTCGCACTTATGCTCACCCACACTCAGACTCACCCATATTCAGACTACCTCGCACCCTGGCTCACTTATCTTCAGATGTGTAGTCATCACACTCAAACTCAGAGTCACCCACACCCAGACTCACTCACACTCAGGCCCACTTGCACTTCGACTCGCTCGCGCTCAGTCTTGCTCATACTCAGACCAACTCGTATCCGACTGACTATGTATCCAGGGTCACTCGCACTCAGGCTCAATCGGACCCATATTCACTCACACTCCGAGTCGCTCACACTCATACCACCCACGCTCAGGTCTACTCACACTAAGGCCCACACACAACTAGTTGCCGCGATAAAGCCAGCGTGGCACTTGGGTGCCCCGAATGCCAGCAGACGCCGCGAGTAGCACGCCAGAGAGCGGGCGTAGCAACGCCATGCGCGCTTGCCTGGGCTGCCGCGGGGAGAAGGGCCACGGGAACTCCCCCTCGCTCTTCCACTTGTGTTTCCCTCGTCTCTTCTGACATGTATCCAGAGGAGGAGGGGGAGGAGGAGGAGGAGGAGGAGGAGGAGGAGGAGGAGGAGGAGGAGGACATCACTGAAGTCGTCGCTGTCGTCGCCGCCGTCGTCGTCATCGTCGTTGCCGCGCCTGTCGTCTACACGGACTCGCTCTCACACCCAGGCGCTCATAGACAGAGTTGCCCAGCGAGGCGTGACAGGACCATGAGATGCACATATAGGGATCCCCGCGTCGAGTAATGTTAGATCTGCCGACGGGTGTGACGCAAAGGACCCTATTGTGTCATGCGCAATAAAGGACCCTATTGTGTCATGCGCGATCACAAAAGGAGAGCTATGTACATTGGAGCAGGGGGTGGTGGATGAGCAGGAGGACCAGCAAAAAGAAGGGGAGGATGCGGAAGGAGAAGGAGGACGAGGAGGAACAGCAGCAACACCAGGAGCAGAAATGGGGGAAACGGGAGGGGCAGCATACCCAGGGGGAGGTGGTGGAGGGGAGCAGAGCGTGGCGACTTCGAGGAGGAAGTATTCGGATCCAGAGCAGAGGCCCTCGCGAGGGCGAGAGCGCTATTCCGTACGATGAGAGCAAAGTGTCGGTCTCAGACGGAGGCCAGCGCTGCCGCCAGCGGGAGCACCCGTAGGAGACACCGACAACGCTCAGATTTAGAAGCCGCAGGAGAGATACAGATATGCGTTCCTGTGTATCAGTGTGCGGGGGGAAAGTGGGATGGGGGGGGGGCACTCGCCTGCCATCTTCGCGGGTTGGGGGGGGGGGGGGGTAGGAGAGTAGGCATGGAGTAAAGGTAGGAAATAAGAGAGGTGGAGAGATGAGGAAAAGGAGTTGGAGAAGGAGGAGGAAGGATGATGATGGTGATGGTGATGATGATGATGATGATGATGATGATGATGATGATGATGATGATGATGCTGATGCTGATGCTGATGCTGATGCTGACGCTGATGCTGATGCTGCTGATGATGATGCTGATGATGATGATGCTGATGATGATGATGATGATGATGATGATGATGATGATGATGATGATGATGATGATGATGATGATGATGATGATGATGATAAGGAGGGTGATGGTGAAGAGGAGGAGGAGGTGGATCTCCTCACTGGAGGGAATGCGCGTGTTTTCGGGCATGCCTGCTGCGTGCTTAAGCCGGAGGGTCTAGCGGTGATCTAGCTGCCAGCAGCGGCGGGCGAACTCCGATATCCTTCGCAGACGGGCCCACTGTCAGTGCTGATGGTGACGGTGGCGATGATGATGCTGATGATGATGCTGATGATGCTGCTGCTGATGATGATGATCATGATGCTGCTGCTGCTGATGATGCTGCTGCTGCTGATGATGATGACGATGAGGTGGAGAAAGGGAAGGATGGTGATGGCGACGGCGAGAGTGTGGTGATGGTCGGGGAGGTGATGATGACGGTCGTACTGACGATGTTGTCGCCGACGATGACATTTAATGGTGTTTTTGAGGATGCTGACGGTGATGATGGTGACTCTAAGGGCGACGACGGCGATGACGACGATGTTGCTGTTGATGATGATGATGATGATGATGATGATGATGATGATGATGATGATGATGATGGTTGTGGCGGTGGTGGCGATGATCATGATGACTAGGTTATTGATGATGATGGCGACAATGGTTATGCCGATAATGACGATGTTGCTGATTATGGTAATGATGATGCTGATGATGATGATGCTGATGCGGCTGCTGCTGATGACGATGGCTATGATGATGGTGATGCTGCTCTTGATGCTACTGGTGCTGATGATGTTGGCGATGATGCTGATGATGCTGATGCTGACGATGATGCCGATGACGATGCTGGTGCTGATGATGCTGATGATGATGCCGATGCTGATGATGAAGCTGATGACGATGACGATGAGGATGAGGATGAGGATGAGGTTGATGATGATGATGATGATGATGATGATGATGATGATGATGATGATGATGATGATGATTATGATGATGTCGTGATTATGATGATGACGATGCAGATGATGCTGATGATGCTGATGATGCTGCTGATGATGATTTTTAGTATTGTTACAGTGAACTCGCAGACTAAGGATGGGCAGCCTTCCCAAGGGTACCCTTGCATCCTTGCGCCCTCGGTCCATCCTTCGCCACGTTCGTTGGCCGCGCCCCGCTCGAGGAGCTTCGAATTGGGCGTCCAAGGCCTTTGTATCCTTATCGCGCAACTGCACGGGTTGACTACATTGTATTTATCAGTCGTATTATGATTACCATTATGATGATCATGCTGATGATGCTGATGATGACATTGATGCTGATGACGACGATTCCGATGATGATGATGCTAATGCTATGATGATGCGTATGACGACGACGGCAACGATGATGACAAGGATGCTGATCTCGGTGATGACGACGATTTGAGGATGACGATGGTATAACTGATGCAGTCGATCATGATGACGACGACTGTGATGTTGGCGGGGTTAGCATGGCAATAATGGTGGTGCTAGTGGTGCTGATAGAGAGCATGAGGACGAGCAGGGGGAGGGAGAAGATGCGCATCGCCTTCGCGGCCGAGAGGTCCGATGACGCTGAAATACTTTCCCTTCACGGGGCGGGCCGAGCCCATCCGCCTCGCGCTGAGGATCGGAGGCATCGAGTTCCAGGCCCGGAGGGCCACGGGCACCTCCCCCAGCCGCTGCGCTGGCGCCTCCTGCTCCTGCTCCTGCTGCCGCTCCTCCTCCGCCTCCTCCTCCTCCTCCTGCCTCCTCCTCCTTCTCCTCCTCCTCCTCCTCCTCCTGCCTCCTCCTCCTCCTCCTGCCTCCCGCTGCTCCCCCTCGAGGACCAGCGGATCACGAACATCGAGTGGGCGACGGCGGCAAAGCAGACGACCCCCTACGGCCAGGTGCCCGTGCTGGTGGTCGAGCAGACGCAGATCGCGCAGACCAAGAACATCCTCAGGTACCTGGGGAAGCTGATAAAGCACGACGGGCGCCTGCTCTATCCGGAGGACCCCCTCGTGGCCGCCAAGGTCGACGAGGTGCTGGACGCGTTCGACGACGTGTGGGTCCTCCTGGCCCCGACGTATCCTGGAGGCTTTGCGCCATCCCGCCGAGCTCGCCGCCCCGTCAACCCCCCCTGGCTCCCGAGATCCGTCCTGCGCCCCCTCCCCCCCCCCTGGAAGAGGGGGAGAGCGGAGGGGGACGGTGGAGGGAGGGCACGGCCGCCTCCCTCCCCCCGCTCCCCCCCCTCCTCCTTCCTTCCACTCCCTCCTCCCCCCCCCCTCCCCCCCCTCCTCCTTCCCCTCCTCCCTCACCCCCCTCCCCGTCCCCTCCCTTCCCCTCCCCTGCCACCTCCTCCGCCTGAAGATGGGCCGAGATGCTTCTCCTCCTCCTCCTCCTCCTCCTCCTCCTCCTCCTCCTCCTCCTCTTCGCACGCAGCGCCCTGTGGGTCGCCCCACCGGCAAGCGGGGGGCCCGGCGGGCAGAATCAAGGACAAGGAGCAGAGGGAGCTGGCGAGGCAGAAACTCTTCGGGCCCGGCGGCGAGGCCGCCGCCATGCTCGGCATCTTCGAGAGGATGCTCAAGGACTGCGGGTCGGCGCGGGCTCGCGAGCAGCCGCTCCTCTTTCCTCCTCCTCCTTTCTCCCCTTCCTCCTCCTCACCTTGTTCCTCCGCTTCCTTTCCTCCTGTTCCTCCTCTTCTTCCTCCTCCTTTCCTCTCCCTCCTCCTCCTCCTCCTCCTACTCCTCCTCCTCCTCATCCTCCTACTCCTCCTCCTCCCCGCCTCCTCCTTTTCCTCCTCCTCCTCATCCTCCTCCTCCTTCTCCTCCTCCTCCTTTTCTTTTCTCCTTCTCTCCCTCTTCCTCCTCTCTTCCTCCTGCTGCTCCTCCTCCTCCGAATCCTCATCCGCATCCTCTCCTCTTAGTCGTGGTCGTGGTGCGTCTTGCTCTTCTCGGACTTGTTTCCCTTATGCAGTGACCACCCACCTGGCTTGCCAGGAATCGCACGCCTGGCCTGTCCGTCCGTCCGTCCGTCTAGCCACTGCCGCACTCTCCCCTATCGGTGGCCAGGGCGAGGTTTTGGGAGAGGGTGCCGAAACGCGCCCCCTGGCTCAGAAAGGCCTGAGGGTGCAATCCGACAGGTCTGGCTGCTGCTTTCAGAGGGGGACCCTGCGCCCTGGCGAAGGCCGCAGCACCGCTCTACGATGTGGT